GCAGGGTGCTCACCCCCCCTCACCGGCCGGGCACAGCCGGGGGGACCGGGCAGCTCCCGGGGCCGTGGCACAGCCTGTGTCGCCATCCAGCGCCTCCGCGGCTCCCTGCAGGGCCCCAACGTCCCCGGCTGCGGGGGGAGCAGCACCGGGCACCCCCAGGGAGACCCCAGCCCCGGGGGGATCAAGGGGTGATGGAGAGCGGCGGTACCGGAGGAGCAGTAAGGGGCTGGGGGGGGCTGGAGCCCATCCTGGGGCACAAGAGAATATCACAGAATCACAGAATCTTCTAGGTTGGAAGGGACCTTAAAGATCATCTTGTCCAACCGTCAACCTGACTGACAAAAATAGACACCCACACAACAAACAAGGAGCATCATCACTAGACCATACCTCCCAGCACTACATCAACCCCTCTTTTGAACACCTCCAGGGATGGGGCCTCAACCACCTCCCTGGGCAGCCCATTCCAATGGCTGAGAACCCTTTCTTTCAGTGAAAAAGTTTTTCCTAATATCCAGCCTGAACCTCCCCTGGTGCAACTTGAGGCCATTTCCTCTGGTCCTGTTGCCTGTGACTTGAGAGAAGAGACCGACCCCCACCTCTCTACACCCTCCTTTCAGGGAGTTGGAGAGAGCAATAAATATATATGGGCTCTGCAAGGAGGCAGAGAAACAGAAAGATGCAAACAGAGGAGTATTCTCACCTGGGTAGCTCAGGGAGCTCTACAGTTAACAGCAAGAAGCTATCACATGCTCTGACCTACTAACATGAGATATAGTGAAGAAATATATATATATATATAACTGCTGCTAAATCTGCCTACATCTTATCTAGGCTTCTGATGCAAAGAGCCACAGGTCAGAGCAGCCCCTAGCTCTCCCTCCCTCAACCTCACAGCATCCATAGTGGGGGAGCAGGGACATATTTATCAGGGAACACTTTAATTGCAGCCAAGCGACAGCTGGGACACCCAGGTGAGCAGTGGGTGCAGAGCAAGGCAGGAAATGAGGCAGCAGCTTCAAATAGGGATGTGCAAGCAGGGAGGAGAAAAAAAGAGAAAAGGGATGTGAGCTTGGGGAGGAACTTTAAAAAATACAAGCTGCTGAATGAATTAAAGCTTAAGACTTAGAAGCTGGGAAAGTAGGAAATGCTGGATAGCTTCTGTAGGGCTATTAGTGCAGTTGGAAGAGCTCTGGCTGCAATTAAATCTGTGGATGGTTTTACAGAGCTGGCAGTGAGAGCCCTGCTCCTGCTGTGACCTTGCAGTGCAGAACTTCTGCATGGAAAGGAATAAACGGTTCCTCTGGGGAACTGAGAGCACCGGGGCACGCCAGTTCTAGGAAATACTCTCAATTTTACTTCACAGTGGGCAGATACCGTGTTTTTCCAGCAGGTTTTTTTTGTTGTCACAGGAGCCCAGAGGCCGGGGGGGTGCTGAGGTCGGGCTGTGGGGGTGATGCTGTTAAATTGTTAACCCCCCCTCCCATCCAGGGGGAACGGGGTGTTCTGGGTCAGCTCCATCCGCACCCCGAGCAGCGCTGGGGATGAGGGGGGGGATCTCTCAGCCCCCTCCCGTTATCTCCTCGCTCCTCCGCAGGCTCTGGCTGTTTATTAATAGCCCGGTGCGGCT